AAAAGCCCAAACACCAACCCACTCCAGCCTACCTGCTCGGCTCCAAACGGCAAAGTGAGCAACCAGACGGTGAACACAACACGGTGAAAGAGGCAGATATTTCCCTCAGGTGTTCGGTGGTAAACAAACTGATGGAATTGAGCCATCAGGTGCGCACGGACCGGACTCTGAAGTGTCGCTCTGAATCTATTAAACGTGTAAATAAGCAGCTGTCGTGAAATGTTCGTGGCTGATAATTCATATAATTTGTGCGTAAAACACAGAAGCACCTGCAGACCGACGGCGTTTCGCTTGTTTTCGTGCTGCAGGTTTGTCCGGCTGATTGCTTTTTTTCTGTTTTAAACAATCCTCTGATGTTTGAGTCTTTGAAAGCGCTCGTGTTCGTCCCATTGATTCAGCCTCGTAGCGCCGAGCTCTGGAGTCTCTCTCTGTGTTTTTTCCTGAACACCACAAAGAACACAGGAACTCGTTTTATTCATGCTGCTCATTAGCAGTTTTTTTTTTGTAAAATCCCAAGCGCCCGCTCAGCTCTTACACACACACACGTCCACCATAGATAGTCACAGAAATCCTTTTATCGGTATAATTTAAGCTGCAGGATTATAAAAATCACATCCATACTTTCTTATTCCTGCCCTCTTTAACCAGTTTTTATCAGTTTCAGGAGATGATGAACAACTTTTCAGGCAATCCTCGATAATTCTTAAAACTAATAGTTGACCAATATTGTTTTTTTTTTTCTTTACATTAGGTTAAATTATTTTCCCTTGGTTTCTAAAATACATGTAATAGACGCAGTAAGAAGTGAAGCATTATCGTTAAACGTGAAGTTACCTCGATACTTTTAGCCACTTTTAAATTTTAACTCCTCGCACTGCTTCAGGATTGTAACTAATTCTGTTTATGAGAAATGTGCACCTCTAGGCCGGTCTGCTTTTGCATTTTGGGCGAAGCTGGATTCACAAACCCTGGGTTGTCTTATCGAATTGACAATGTAAAGTCAAATAACAAAAAGAAACCCCCTTTATGTTGGACTAGCTTCATAGTACAGGCCCAAAAGAACCTTAAATAACTGCCAGAACAGAAAAAAAGTTTAAACTATTGTGCTCAGAACGGATGTGGCACAATACAGGACGCTACTCGAGCCTTACATAACATCACAGACTAATTGTATTGTTGCATCCAGCTCATACAGCTTCATTTGTAGCACAAAGCACATATTTTTCTGTCTGAAACTCTTTCAGCAGCCGCTTTTGTTTGTTAGCTGATCACAAACACGGACTGATTCAAAGAAAAGAGAGCTGCAAGTGTCTGATTTCTATCCGCAGCCCACTGAGGCAGGTTCAAATCCGCAGTGACACAAATACGAGATGTGCACTTCAGCCGTCACCTGCAGGAAACTCTTGCAGCAGTTAAAGTGCTGCATCTCGAAAAATGGTCGCAGTAAAAGCAAAGCTGCACTCTGACATACAGCCGAAGGTCAGGTCTTTTTGGATAAATGTGCTCCGGATAGAAGAATCAAAAACAGATTCGCCACAGCAAGAGAGGCCACGTTCGGTCGATCTAAAGGACGACAACCTAAAGTGTAAAATGTCGTGTTGGGTGCTTGTGAATCAGCAGATGTGATTCAGTACCGGAGTGTTCACATTTCACGGCTGCCGTCTCCATTACTGTCATTGCAACGGGCATCCAAAGTGCCTTTTTATATCCGGCGCGGCTGAGGAGCAACGACGGGCTAAACGTGCGCTGACCTCGTGTAACGGCGTATTAACGTGTCCTGAGTCAGGCTGCAGAGTAGCACCGAGCGTTAGTCATCCAGCCTCCTGGATCACAGGAGTCACAGCAACAAACTCGACTCTCGTGGTGATTTTAAAGACGCCCACACATTCAGGTCCGTCTGGGCTATTTTCTAGGGCCATGAGAACACGACTGGAGAACACAAATGACTGAGATGTGAAGGGACGCTTGCAGTGGGTGAAGAACTTTCAGGCATCTCTGCAACTTTATTGGGCCTTTTGGCCTTTTGGCAGCTCTGTGTTTTGGGTTTAGGCCACGTTTAACCTTTGGAAGGCTGCAGGACGTCACTGTTTTCAGCTGAAAAAGAGCTGCTGTACTTTACCAGCTCGGCACCGACCAGAAGAGTTGATGGTGTTTTTTAGTTTGTTTTAAATGCCAGATACACGGCATGATTATTTAAAGTAAAGATATGGGTTTTCACACCACAGTTCTGCATCTTTCGTAGACAGTAACAGTAATGTTCATATAATATAATATAATATAATATAATATAACATAATATAATATAATATAATATATTCTTTTTCTTTACAAGATTGTAACATGGCTCTTAATATACAGCACTATTTACAAATTCTGAAGTAAATAAAGGCTTCAATTTATTGTCTTTTTTTCCTAAAACCGAATGAATATTATTTAAAAAGACACTTAAAATAAACAGTAATATTCCAAGATGACATCAATGTTCAGTAGGCTTCCCATGTATGTTTTAATTACATTTCCAGTGTTTTGTTTGATTTTTTTCAATCTTTTGATTTGTTGGGTTTCTCTCTGTAATATAATATTGTAAGATCTCAGCCTTAATAAGCTCTTTTGCACCGCTATTTTATTATTTATATCACCTTTTAACTTCTTTTTTCTTAGACTGTGACCATATCAGCTGCTACAAAGATGATGCCCAACGAAATTTTGTTGTATTTTTTGTACAAGGACAATAAAGTTTCTTCTTCTTCTTCTTAATATGTGAAGTTCCCAGATGACTTAAGTTGTGAATTAGTGCTATTTGAATAAAAATTAAAGGGACACCTTCAATTTATTTAGAAAACTTACATCTACATAGTTACTATAAATCCTATTGATCCAGTCTTACAATTTTTCAAGCTAAACTAAGAACAGCAGGTTAATGACGGATTTTCTGAATCTAAATGCTGTGTTTTTATATCACTCAGCTTACCTTTGCACAGAGTCGATGGTCACTTTAATTCACTCGGTTCAGCTTAACAGAGAAATTACTCACTGTGTTCTTTTGCCAAACTCTCAGGCATCCAACGCCTTTATTTTAGAGGCTTCGGCGCTCTTTAGATGTTGGAACGATGACAGTAAAACACTTCAGCAGCAAAGAGAACAAATACGACGAGTTCCACCTTTCACACTGTAAGGAGGTTAGAATCACTGGCACTCATGGATGTGAAGGTGTGATCAATGTTGGAATGTGACTCAGCTGCTTTTTTATTTATCTAAAATATGTAAAAGACAACAAAATGCCAGCTTAACGTGCCTTTTGTTTGACCTTCATCTGTGAGCACGTGACTGTATGTTAGCTTCCTCATTGGGACTGTGTGAGCATGTCAACGCTGGATTTCGCCCAAATCACCAAAGCAGAACCTCCCAGCTGTAGTTTCTCCTCAGCCGAGGTGGAAAAGAAAATTAATTTGTGTACAAATGAGTAAAAACATAGCTGCTTGCCAACTGGTAACGCAACCGTGGTGACTTTGAAAGTGTTAGACGCAGGTGAGCAGCTACGTTCTGGTGATGTGGGGCTTAGAAATACCATTCATTATTAGCTGATTACCATTTTTCACCTTTGGCAATGATGTCATTTGCACATAAACTGCTGCGTAGTGAACAGATTAATTAAATTTTTTGTGGTTCGTTGGTCTTGTCTTTTATTAATGGTGATGAGATGGAGAAGTCCGATCCAGCAGAAGGTGTCCAGGCAGAAAATACTCTTAGACCTAAACAAATATACCTAAACATCCTGGGTGAGGACATCGCCATGGTGGAGGAGTACCTGGGTGTCTACCTCGACAGCAGACTGAGCTGGAGGACCAACATCGACTTTGTGTACAAGAAGGGGATGAGCAGACTCTATTTTCTGAGGAAGCTGAGATCCTTCAACATATGCAGCATGATGTTGGAGGTCTTCTACCAGTCTGCTGTGGCCAGCGCCTTGCACACTTTGCAGTTGTCTGCTGGGGGAGCAGCATCAGAGCCGGTTATAAGACCAGACTGGACAAACTGATCAGGAAAGCCGGCTCTGTGATTGGCTGCAAACCAGACTGTCTTGAAGCTGTGGTGGAAAGTAGGACTATAAGCTGTTGTCCATCCTGGATAACCC